AGGTGTTAGTTACTTGAAACTGATTATGAGAATTAAAGCCATAATCATGAAAATGGTTTCATATCAGAATTATTTGTAGAGCAGAGGTCTTAGCCGACTGATTAATGAATATCAACTCTCTTAGCAGTTAATTACTTTCATTTTATTTATTTTTCTGTTCTTGATGTATTTTTTTCTTATTCCTTGGCCTTGGCAACTGTGAAAAACGATTAGGACGTAAGTACATGTTTCGCTGTGATTTAAAGCATATCTATTTGCATGGCACTTTTACAGTACGTTTACGTTAACATATTTAATTAAAGTACAGGTGATAAACGAAAGAAAAAGTGCATAGCATTTCTCAATAAACAAATGAATGTTTTGAGCAACAGATGCACGTTTTAATTTTATTTTTTTTTAATAACTTTTATTTACATGCCACTTCTGCAATCACTTAGCTGGTAAGTTGAATTTAGTTTATCTCGCGCAATTCTTATTCTTAATAATCATGCTCAAGACAATTAAATTTTCCTTTAGTACCTACGATCCTATTTACAACCGGACCGCCTATGAATTGTTTACTCTATTCGGAGTGCATGTCAATTAGGTGTTGTGAAAACAAAGCTAGGTTATCATCACAACGAAAAATCATCGAAGCCTTAAGAATCTCATATTCAAAGCAAACATTTGGCATCCATGACTGGAAAACACACGAGATCATGTGAAATCAAATTTGCTGAGAAGCTGTAGCGCAGGACGAGGCGTGGCAAAACTCCGATGTTATCAAGGATTACTTCTGAAACCCCCGTTGAAAATCGCTTTCTCCTACAATAATACAGTTTCAGCCAATGAAATTTACGCTGACATCCATGTCACCAATGTGTTTTAAGTCTACTTTTATGCTTTATTTTGAATTTTGAGCTCAACTCGTGCTTTCGGTACATTTTTATTGGTAAAGACTTCCATAACTGGCCCCTCATACCGTGATCTGCAGGTGACAGCTGACGAGGAACATTCGAGCAATGCTAACTTTCTCTACTTTCTGATAGCGACTGAATCTCGCCCAAGACTGCAAACAAAAAAGTTCACAGTGTCTACCATAGTATCATTAAAGGGCTTGACAAACGCAGAACAGAAGTAATACAAAATTTAACACAAGTAATTCAAGGGCTGGTCATACCACGCATAAAATCAGCCAAACCCTTAACGCGAAACCGGCGTGAACGAGGTTAAACAGAAATTTAGAAATGCAACCCATCCTAGACAATTTTCTCTTGAGTTTCTAGAGAATCTTTTTCCAACATCACATCCTTCTCTGGGAAATGTAAATTTAGGCGCTAATGCTCGCTTTCCATGTGTTGAGAACGTACTGGAACCTAATTCCTTTCCTTTTTTTTAAGTTTTACGATGAATTGTTATTTAATAACTTAAGCTATGTTATTTAGATCATTAACCGCTCCTCCTTTCTTATCTCGTCTTTCCTGTCCAGCCAAAAGTGAAGGTAACTATCAATATCATCCGTTCCTATAAATTAAGAACCCTCCTGTGGCTTAATATACATTACTGACTCTCCGCACCGGCTGATTACTGATCAGCAAATTACAATCGTAAATAGCAAAGAAATATCTGCGTGTGTATCAATGACAGTTAGTCATAGCTGTTAATGTTACTATCCGAACGATTTTACTGATGTGGACAGTATCAGCATAAAATCAATACCCAAGCTCTGTAATAAACGATATTTGTATAATTATCATCAGATATCAGTCATATTTGGCTGATTGTCTGTTTGATTTAACAAATTCTGTCACATAATTATCGATTTCAATGCAAAATATTGACGTACCAAACAAACTGGTTAGTTCAAATAAACAAATGAATAGATAAATGGATTAACGTCTTTTTTCAAAACTGTTCTCCTTCACGGCGTTCTTTCCGGATTCATAAGCGGGTGAGTTCAGTTTGTTTGTTAATCTTATGATATGTTAGTCAAGTATTCCAAGGTTATATTAAGCCACTTACTTACTCACCGAATGTGAATCTTTCTTTTCATGTTCACCTAACATCCCCATCCTAACTGATATAACAGATTGTAAGTAGCCTTGCTTGAACTATCATTTATCAACGAATGGATCCCAATAGAGGGATTCAGACAGGATACTCTTCTCTGTTGATCAGAGGATGTGTGAACAAAGATATTACATAGAAATAAAACTTTTAATTGTTGCAAGAATTGAATTACAACGCTTCAGGCTTCCGCCATATACTGGTGGAACTTTTACAGTAAAGTTGAAAATTAAAAATTGAAAACGTTTAGAATCCTAGTTTGTTTCTTTTAAAATTTTTGCACAGTCATCCATTTGAGCAATAGAAGACAGTGTCACTCTCCTTGGCTTAGAATATAATAAATCCTGCACAGATGTTGAGAGAACACCAATGATGCTTTTAAATAGGGAACTGTAAGCTGGGTGATTTATAAGCTTCAAGCCATCAGTCTTTTTTAACTTGGAGATGTTAGCTTGAAGTCTCCTTGGAAATTAGAAATTGGGGATATAAACGATAATAATGTATTTTGTTATCCTTTATGACAAGATGCAGATTAATGCAGCAAAGAAAGTAAGAGCATAGGTAGAGTGATAATATGACATATGACACTTTTCGCACAACTTGCTGTTTTCAAAGGTTGTATGGCGTGGTCGTCTTGGAATGGCGGCTGCAAAGAGTGCGGTCAGTACCGAAAAAGAGTCGGTAAGTGACAAGAGGGAGTTTTTTAGAATTTGTGATTCGAAAGTGCAATGGCGGGTTTTCGCCATTGTTTTACAACTTCCAAACTATACAGCATTTATAAGCTTATATTCAATTGGATTCCTTCCTATGTATATACTGCAATGATAATTAGGCAGGAACCCTCAACAGTTATTGCCAATGGATGTTTTCTCTAGTAGAAATAAGATGACTTAATCTCCAACCGTTTATTACTTTTAAAAGATTATCTGGATAACCTTACTTCTAGAATTTAACTGCTCAAGAACTCGGGAATCACGACCTTGTAAATGTAAGTGGTTTTATGAACGAGGACAAAGTAAAGGACCCACCTTTTGGTCGAAAATGCTGTACAGATATGCCTAAACTGTCCTTTTATTAACTTCCAAACTATTTGTAAAATACGCTTTGTTTTTACCAACCGAGTTAGTAATGTAGATTGGCCAGCGTAAGTAGTTCCCAAGCTGATGTCTCGATTGTTAACTCTGACGAAGGGCTAACGGTCCAAACGTCAGCTGGGAAAATCTTTACGGTGGCCAATTTAAATTTAAATTAACCCTTAGCACAAAAGTCAGTCGGTTACCTCCAAATCATCGCCTTAGTTTAAATGCTCTTTAGGCGGCTTCCCTACACCTGGGTTACTCTGGACTAAGGATGGGTTGAATCTTGGTAACAACAACATTCTCACGATTGATCAAGTGAGTTATGGAAATCCTGGTCAATAACATGCAGCGCTAAAAAAGTGAAGGGAAAAATGAATTAGCTTTTCATACTATGGGGACAGGTAAATGTTGACTTACTTTTGTTTCCTTCTGTTGCTCTTCTCATTTTCTAATGTTTTTTTCTCATACTTTCGCCTTTTTTGAATTCTTCTTGTTAATTCTATGCCAAGGTCCTCCTGGAATTAATCCTGAGCACAAGAATCAGTCGGTTACATATAATTCATCGCCTCAGTTCAAATGCTCATTTAGCGGTTTCCCGACACCTGAGATACTCTGGACCAAGGATGGGGTGAATCTCACTAACAACAATACTCTCACGATTCGTCAAGCGCGATTGGAAGACTCTGGCAAATACACATGCAGCGCCGAAAATATCGAGGGGAGCAGAAACTCAACTTTCTGGATCGAAGTGGCGGGAGGTACGGTTTTCATTTGCATATAGAAAGAGCTGAAGTCGCGGACCAATTTAAATCTTTAGTTAGATGAGGAAAAAAAATCGATTCTCTCGGTACCAAATCAGATTTAAGGACTTGAAACTGCACAAAGTTCAAAACTAATTAAAAATAATAAAAAAGTACTAAATTGATGATAACATTTAAAGAGCGAGAACATGCCAAAGTATATATCAAATCTAAATGAATTTTGTAATCAGACACATGTAATTAATTTTTGTGCAGTTTAAACTGATTGCTTTTTGGAGCGTCGAGCAATTTTGACTTTATAGATATCACCATATTTTGTCACGGCATTTATTATAAGAGTCTGTCTAAATTTTTAATTACCCTTTTTTCTGCTTCTGACAAGTCATAATTTCATGTACATTTTTAGAAGTGGTAAAAGTGTACGCGTCACAGTATGCCAAAGCGGCCATCAATGCCTTAGTTTCTGAGTATTTATTATTGAAGTTGGAAAGCGATTTTGTAGAAACATCCATGTAAACTTTTCATTGAGTTGAAATTTGAAAAATCAGCGACCAAAACTGCAAAGAAATACATGAAAATATTACCGCTGTTACGTCGTTATGAACTTGTACTCTTGCTACAACGGACAATCTGCGTGATTAAAGTGACAGATTTAACGTAACGTTTTCATAGAATGCAAATATTTTGATCATTATTATCTGGCTATTCTTCAATGTAAATGTGTAGTTTGATCTTAGAGAAACTGGTGCTCTTTGAACATGGTTTTTACACCAAAAACTAGTAAGAAAATTACGAAGAAATTAATAAATAGGAAACTAAATTGTTACCTCCTGGGCTGTTGCTAAGATAGGAAATCTTTTAAGGAAATAAAACATGTTTTGATGTCACATTGGGCTGACCTATACCTTCCTATATCAAAAGTGAAGAAAACTGATTGCAGAATAAAATTGGATTAAAAATAGGCTCGGCAATAACGTAGTTTGCTTTCATTTTGAAACTAGTTAATTTAGGGTTGGATAAGGGAGGAAGGAGAGGGGGTTAAAAAGGAAAATGCGACCCTTTATTTAGCTTGATGATCTTTTTACTTCAAGTCTCTCCCCAGATCATTCAGCCTCCGAAAAGCCAATCTGTTACCGAAGGATACCCTGTAAACCTTAGTTGCGTAGCCTCAGGTATTCCAACACCAACCTTCGTCTGGACTTTTAATAATGGTGACCTGCCATCTGGTATCAATCAAACCGATCACGAAGAAGAATCATTCCTAGTTTTGCCAAGTGTCATGAAAAGGATGAATGGGACTTACAAGTGTACAGCAAAAAACAAAGTAAACACAACCAGTTCCTCAGCAACTCTGCGTGTTTATGGTAAGTTCAGTTATAATGATATTGATAAGGATGATGATGATGATGATGGTAACGACGACGATGATGACGTTGATAATGACGATGATAATGTTGAAGATGAAGAACAGAAATAGGGAGAGAAGAAATTAAGACAGGAAAATGAACTCGTAAATCCATGGGCAATGTCGACTGAGAAAAGGCAGTAGCGTAGAGAGAGTTTAGGCAAACTCTGCCCATTTATAGAGAAGGCAGATCACGCTATCTAACGGTTAAATATTTATCCGGTCAATGTGTGATAGTAAAACGTAAAGCGTTATCCACTAGATAGAGTTTTATTTTGTGGATAGTGTTATCTACCCTTCAAACGACCGGGGTCTGACCTTCAAAAAACGGATGATACCAGTGCTTAATGCTAATGTCCTTGGATCTTTATGATTCCAAACGCAAAGAACTGCGTAGATCTGAGTAGGAAAGAAACGCCTCTGTCCTATCCAGCTATCCAGATAGCTCTCTATCTGGATGGTTGGTGATATTAATTTTTATTTTTAATGCCGACCAGCAAATTACTTTCCCACTAAGTTTCCTCTATTGTTATATATCAGGAAAAATAGAGGCTCCCTCCAGCGGCTCACCTCCCTCCAGCAGCTCACCTCCCTCCAGCAGCTCACCTCCCTCCAGCAGTTCACCTCCCTCCACCAGCTCACTGGAGTGGTACTACATTGGAGGACCTTTGGCTGCTATCGTTTTTCTACTGGCGCTAATTTCGTACATTAAAAAACGCCGTGAGACAGGTAAAATGTTACTATACGAAAATAAAATGTCTTCATATGGCAGATTGTGGCTTTTAATACGTCAGTGTCTTGGAGCACGAAGGAGCTATCTTAAGCAGGTCATATTCTGCATTTCCAGCACTGATTTTGAAGGTCCCTCTACAGTCCCGGCAAAGCCCATTACTAATCACATAACAAAAAACGTTATAAATTATATGAAACTAATTACCATGATAACGCACCTTATTCCTTCTCCTGTTGTTTGACAATAGAGTCAAATATAAGTTACACGTGGTTTCTGAGTCGCAAGCTTCAACTTAGTGAATGATGTCATTCTTACTCACAACGAAGCGATTTCTTTCATCTCTTTCCATATATCCTTTGATAATAGCCCCACCTGAGGTACCACCCAGACTGCAGTAAGTGAATTCTCTTTTTTTTTAATGCTCACTGTTTGAACGTGTGGTTATTTCCGAAGTTTCTAACTCTTGAATAAGTCTCAGGAGAGTAGTGATAAGCGCCACTGCTGAGCAAATGTCTTTTTATCAGTTTTTCAGTTTGGACTGATTATATTCACCATCAAGACCACATGGGCCAAAATAAAATTTTTTTTTCCTTTCGAAGCAATGGCAGATTTCGAAGCCGTTCTTATCCAATGGTATCTTTGTATCTTTCTTTTCTTTTGTTACCAGTATGCCGGGTTGTGGGTGGCATACTTGTAAAGAAGAAGAAAAGCTTTGACCCTTCGTCACTCTTTGTTACATAAACTACAATTGAAATGCACTCGGAGTCTTTTAGACCGATTTAAAATACCACTCGATATATCGATTGTAGACAATACTTCGGATGGTTTTAATTAGTATTTCATTTCTCGCGTTGGAGGCACGATATTTATATGATGTAAAATGCCGAAAAACACAGTCGGCGCTAGGTTTATTCAATAAAATCTCCTCTCTGAGTCGATGCGTCGAAAAAACGGGTTTAGCAAATTAGCATCAAAATTTCACTTATTTCAATAATTTTTTCATTGGCAAGTGATAATTTTCTGAAGCACCCGGAAATGAAACGAAAAGAAATAAATTAAAGTGAAGATATAGAGGATATCTTTACCACGTTATGTTAAACCAGATTCAAAGAAGGAAAAGATAGATGGGTAACAGAAATAGTTGAAGTCTTGTTTCCATCTGCAATTATTCAGTGAAGGGGAAGATGAAGTTGAGATGGATCAGCTGAACGCAAACACAGATGGATGGGAAATTGCAGTTGAGCGCCTGAACTTTCGCGAGTATATTGGCAAAGGGGCATGTGGTTCAGTATGGCGAGCGCTACTGGGTCGTTCTCGAGGCAGACCTGGAAATCGCACGGTTGCTGCGAAATGCTACCTACGTAAGTACTTTTTCAGATCTTTCTTTCATACAAAGCTTGATTAAACTATCCTTTTTTAATTTATCTTAATAAAGAGTATTTCACTTAGAACATGCTTTATTTACGTACCTGATACATAACATGGATAGCATAAAAACTACGCGTTGTTAAAATGATTTTCCAGCTGGCATGTCAAATTGTTGGCGGATGGTTCCCGGGGGACCAGTTGTTAAGTCTTTTGTCATACAACCCTACTAACACACAACAGAACACGAATATCATTTGAAGTATTAGAAGCTGTGGAGAAAAATTACAAATTTATCGGTTAAATTGCATTCAAACGAATAAAAGCGGAAAATACTATAATACTGAAAATGTCACTCCGTCGTATATTTTGTGAAATTGCTCGCTTATAAACTTTTGATAGGAAATAATATCATGTGACCTCAAAGAAACCTCGAGAGGGTGAGTCTGGCGAAAAACACTCGGAGCCGTTTGCCAGTCTAGTGGTGGTGGTATGATCTTCTTCCGCTGGAAAAGCTGAAAATCACAATGCAATAGAACCTGTATGAAGCAGTCAGCTTGTAATAAGCTATCGGTTTTCAAAGTCCCGAAACTTTCCTCCTTTACTTATAGTGCTTTTTATTTCAAGCAGTTGTGGTCACCCTTTACTGTGGCCCAACAGCCTATTTGTAATGTTCCCCACCTTTATCGAACGGTCACTAAAGCGGGAGTAATCAAATAAAATTAAGAATAATCTTTCAAGTGAAATTTAATCCATGTTTATCTCCCAAAATCAATGTTAGGAATATTTTTGAGCGAGGTTAAGTATGTTAAGTGGTCCGTGATGACATAGGGTGGCATTTTTAAACTTTTATCAATAGTAGCCCTACTCCGAGGAACCAATATTAAACGGTCAACCATTTTCCGTGCGTGACCGCCAAATACAGGTTCGACTGTAACAAGCTTACAGAGTCAAATGAATTTACAATAACTCTGGGAATGCTTACGAATTATTGTAGCTTTTAATAAGATAAAAGCAAGGATTATCTAATTTATGAACTAGCATGTATTTGCAGCATGTGTTTAAAAAAAAAACTGTCTCAAATATATATTCGACCGACTATTAGGTATTATAACAGATAGAATTTCTAGGCTTAATTGCGTCTCTACTTTTGTAAGTTATCTGTCAACAATTGCATGGTTCAATGGGCTTGCCTAGTTAACAACAATGCTCGAGATGTGCAGCGTTTTCTTAGCAAATAATTTTTTCAACGAGGATGAATCTATTTTGGAAATTTCATGTTCAATACAATTGAAAAATACGGCTAACTGACATTTTTGTGGCAAGTATAGATTATATGGAGTTTAGTAAACTAATTTTTTTTTATGTAGACCAAATGCATTATAATTTGCGCTGGTAATATAACACCAAGCATACAACAATTCCAGATGTGGATGTTTACCACATAATTAATTGTGTCTCTCTTGACATGCAAAGTTTGTTTGTTTATCTAGTTTTTGTGTGGTTTCCTAGCAATCTCCGGAGAGAAAGGAAGGAAGGCCCTGCTGAGAGAGATCGAGTTATTAAAACTCTTTGGAAGGGAGGGCCATGAAAATGTTGTTAAGTTCATTGGTTGTGTCACAGTTGGAGGTAATCAGCTATTGTTATGATTATAATCAGCTAATTCACAGCAACGATAGAAACATCTCTGAGTTCAACCACTGGTACAATTACTTCTATCAGTATTCTTAGTCCTTGCTAAGATGGTGTACTAATTCAATGGTTATTTTCAATTTTTGACTGTTTTAAATGAATTTACTTCGCATTGTATGAGGGGCATTTTACTTGGAAGATGTTAGCTCTAAAATCTACATGTTAATTGTAATAAAAACTTCAACTTACGATGGCAAGTCTTTGTCTATTTATCTGCCATCTCTGTTTTTTGTCTGTCTGTCTGTCTGTCTGTCTGTCTGATTTCTATCGGCCGTATTTGTCCGTCTATTTTCTATCTGTGTGTTTTTCTTCTTTCACTTTCCCTCTCTGTCTCTACTTTGATTCATTATAGATATAACTTGAGGTATGACTAGATAAAGCATGTACAATTCAAACACGTTTTGGAACTTCTGCACTGCTTGCCGTAAAATAATTTTCTTGTTTTTCCTTTTAGCTCAGCCAATACTTATTATGGAGTACCTGTGGCGAGGTGACTTGCTGGGTTATCTCAGAAAATCCAGGGGGGTTTTCGACCAATATCATCATGGGGTCGGAATTGTCGACCACTTGACAACATATGACATGGTGCTGTTTGCTAAACAGATCGCACATGGTATGACTTTCCTCGCGTCCAGAGGGGTAAGTGCTCAAACTCTTTCTGGTTAGCATGTGGTCCTGCATGTGATAAAATGGCATGACTTGCAAATCGTCAAAAAGTTATACTCCATACGGCTAAAAATATCCAGCAGATTAGAGTCACTATTTCACAGAGAAATGGTCTGACATTAGCATGATGTTAAACTTTCTACCTATATTTTACTTTTTTTTTTTTTATGTAGTTTATAAAAGTCCCTTTTAGCAGATCATATAATTATTTGTTTTCGATTTCAGATAATTCATCGCGATCTTGCAGCTCGTAACATTCTTCTTGATGAGCATCGTGTCTGCAAGTTGACTGACTTTGGGCTCTCTTATCAGGATTTCAAATACGGCCCAGGAAATGCCAAGAAGGTAATTTGCAGAATTTTTTCATCATTTAGTCAATTGGTTTTGGGGCTGCTGGTACGGAAGATAAAAATGTGAAGAATTAAAATATTACTGTCCTTACAAACCTTTCTTTTCAGTTATACAGTCTTACTGCAAAACATATGTCCCTTTAATGGGAAGCCATTCTAAGCGTATCGAAGCTTTCACAGAAAAAAAAAATTATACCAAGGGAGTAAACACAGGAAATAAGAAAGCCGAAAGAGATATTGATCTCTGAATAACAAAGATACAAACTCGAAGGGCAAAGTAACACAGGAAATTTAAAGCAAAAGGAGTGTCTGAATTGTTTTCATAGAATTTGTATAAAGGTGTCTACTGCTGTTGACTTTATCGTGAATCCTCACATCACGGTTTTAATCTAATATGCAAATTATTTTAGGAGCTGTATACAAGCCTCTTTAGATTTCAGATGTTTATAATATTTTGGTTACTCATCCAGGGATGTATCCCAATCAAATGGACTGCACCCGAGATTCTCTCTGGACATGTGGAACAGCTGTCAACCAAAAGCGATGTGTACGTACTGTATTGGTTATTATCTACATATATTCCGAGAGTGAATATTTTTTACGATTCTACCTTAACGTAGCGAGGGAAACTAGAATATTCAGTGCTCTATTGATTAGAGAGTTATTAGGAAACGTTAAGCTGAGGAACAGCTGAGTTTACAGTTGTAGTATGAGACTATATGAATATTAACTTTAACGACCAATATCCAAAATTTGATTAGGACAAGAAAAGACGGATGAAAGGATGAGTGGATAATCAAACTAATAAATATGGCGTTTTCTCTTTGGGAGGTTGCTTATATCTTGATGGCATGTTTTTAAACATCCCAAGTATCTGAGTAATTATTATCTTTCTACGCCAGTTGAGATATATCGTCATCCTTCCATTTCTTTGACAGGTGGTCCTACGGCATCGTCTTGTATGAAATCTTCACTGTCGGTACTTAACTTATTTGTTACTTTATATTCAGGAAATATACTTGCCGAAATTGCATGCATAATTACTAACTGATGAGTGATACCGAGTGGACAAAAGAGCATTGTACAATAGAGAAGTAGAAGCAACACTCAATGTCGCTGATAAATAAAGTCATGACGATGCATAGCAACTTGAAATAAAGTTTAAGTAGAACGGAAAGTATTTAGTACATTATTGAAAAACCTTAAATCCATTGCTACACTTAAATTTGTTTTTTTTACAATACTCTTTCATCTGATATAAAAACGAAATGTATTTCAGCAATTAATTGTCGTTTTGACAGAAGAATCATTTCGATCGCGCTGAGAGGAATGAAAGTGATTACAACAAAAAAAGTGTGCTTTTTTGGCCAACAGAAAAAAACCATTATTTTTCCACAGGAGGCATTCCTTACGATGGATGGTCTCAATCCACGACAATGAAAAAAATCGAAGAAGGTTATCGTCTGCCAAAGCCTGAACATATCGACGACAGTTTGTAAGTGTTGCTTCCTCTGTGTGGCATGTCATATAAGTCAAAAGCAACATCGATTGCTGCTGTGGTCAGGTGTTTTTGATACACTCGCTCTGAATAAGTAGCCTTCCTAAGAAATTAATTTTATCTTGTCACTACAAAAATTAAAATGAAAAGTTATTGAGTCAAATAAAGAATACGATGGGTTTTTCATCACAGAATTCGTTTGAGCTGCAATGTAATGAGATAAACCTAGCATTTCAGTTATTTTTGTAACTAGTTGTGGTTTCTCAACTTTGCTACTTGCAATATGTCCCTGTGTTTTTCTATAGATACGCGGTGATGTTAAACTGCTGGAAATACGAAAGCGCCAGCCGGCCACACTTTGTGAAGCTCTACCAAACAATGGATACATATATTAAAACAAAGGTTTGCCATACAGCGTCTAATTCAGGATAAACTTCAGAAATTGAAATTGGTATCCTACCAAGTCAATTGGGAATTTCTTTGTGATGTCAGTGTAGGCGCAAGAATTTGTATTATCATTTTTTGTTAGTGTTGGTGTTTCATAGTTTCGTGTTAGGTGTTTATTTTCTCGTCTTCATTAGTGTCCTTTGTCAGTTACCAGTTTTGTACTTGTTATATTTATTTGCATATCGTATATATATTGGTTGCGCGTAATTTATTTGGTTAGTTGTCTAGTTGCGAAAATTATCGTTACATATCTAGCTCTGGGTTTCATGTTTTCGTCTTTGGCTTGGTCACATTCGTCTTTTAGCGTATTCAACAATGTGTCAAGTTTGTTCTAGTAAAGTTTGAAATGCGAGTGATTAGCGTTTGCGGCTATAGTCAGAACGCATTTACAACCCAGCCACTAACAATTTGTGAATTCAGTTTCATCATGAACCAATGTTACTTTTAAACATACGCAAGTGTGGTTACGTCATGTCAGTCTGGATCATCCTTATTTTCCCTCTGTTGTCTATGCACAAGAAAGAACGGAACAGATCGTAAAATAACACTTTTGGAAAACTTTGACAGAAAGGAAGACCTTACCTGACTTTTATTCTTATCAATTCATGCAAGTACTAATGGTTCTTGTCTTTGTGATTGATATCTGATCTGCTCTTTTTTTTCTTTTTAGTGACTCATTTTTGGAATTTCTTTGTTGAATTTTTGAAATTCATTCGTTCAAGATTTTTTAACTCATGCAGTTCCTGATTACCTTCTAATATTTTTCATAGACATATGTAGATATCTTTGACGATGACAAGTATGATCAGGATAAGTACAACTCTGTCGATGACCGTGGAGCTGTTGCAAACCCAGAAGATGCAGGACCGGACGAGCTAGGAGCAGCTGCAGCAAATCCCATCAGTGAAGTGGGTGAACACGATGCTACGGCACATCCCTTTCTGGTTGCAGTGGACGATGATGCTACAGCTTTCCCTCTTGGAATTAACGTAGGAGACGAAGGAGCACCTGCAACAAAACCCGACCGTGAAGTGGGTGAACACGGTGCTACGGCACATCCCTTTGTGATTGCAATAGACGATGGTGCTCAAGCTTTCCCTTTCGCTATTAACGTACCAGAGAAAGAGGCAGCTGCAGCAAATCTCTCCCATGAAGTGGGTAAGCACGCTGCTGCTGCACATACCTTTGTGGTTGCAATTGACGATGGTGCTACAGCTTTCCCCTTCGCTATTAACTTACAAGACAAAGAGGCAGCTACAGGAAATCTAGCCCGTGAGGTGGGTAAGCACGGTGCTACGGCACATCCCTCTATGGTTGGAATTGACGATGGTGCTACAGCTTTCCTTCTCGGAATCAAAGTAGGAGAAGAAGGTTGCGCAGCATACCCATTTGAGAGTGATAAGAAAAATATGGATGCCCCAGCTTACCCTTTGGAGAGCGATACTTTACCATACCTTAGCGAGAACGAGGAAGGAGATGTTGATGATTCCGAGTGCCCTCTTGCGATTGAGGAAGAAGAAATTGATGACTCCGAGTGCCCTCTTGCGATTGAGGAAGAAGAAATTGATCCTTTACCATCCTCCCTGGTGATGGACGAAAACGGTCTAGCTGCTTCAGCATGCCCCCTTGTGACTGACGAAGAAAATTCTGATTCTTTAGCATGCCCCCTTGTGGTTGAGGAAGAAGATTCCAATAACTCAGCATGCTCCCCTGTACCTGGGGAAGAAGATTTGGACGCTACAGGATACCTTTCTGTTACTGAAAAAGAAGATCCTACCTCTTTTGCACACTCCGCAAATGAGGTGAATAAACCCGATGCCTCACCATTCCCTTATGTGATCGAGGAACCAGATCTTGATTCTTTAGAATACAATCCTCTGATCGAAAAAAAAGGCCTCAGTGATTCCGTCTTCCCTCCACAAACCCCGACTGATGACGAAGAAGGTGTAACAAGTGAACCTGAAAATAACGTTGGTTATGAAGGTGCTGTAGCATTTCAATCTGAAAAGGAGGCAGTAGAAGAAGAACCTAAGACTTGCCAACTAGAGAACACGAAGGATGAACAAGACGATCTTGGAAACAATATGGACGACAAAAGTGATGCTGTAGACCTTCTTGAAGGGGAGGCTGGCGCACAAGAGTATGATGGTAATCAACTTACTGTTGCGGATACAGACGAAACTGGAAGTGACGAAGACGAGGAGTCATCTGAAGCAACTCCTCTTGTGCAGGACTGAGGCTAAATAGCAGAATTGCTGAACCTCTAAGGTTGTAGTCTTGTAGCACTCTGTGGTAATTTGTAGTTTAGATTTCGAGAACTTCGGCCTCAATATTTCATAGCTTCTGATTTTAAGACGTAGGTTGTATCGTACTTTTACTTCAGTAATGCTTTGGTAGCGACGATAACCATTTTCATAGTTTACAAATGGAGGTTGAGTGGAATTTCCTAGAAAGAAAAACATGTTTATTTACTTCACTTTTGCATTTCCTAGTTTACCGTTTATTCACTCGGTGCAATTGTCAGTGCTTTGTTGATGTTATTGACTGTAGGCTGATAGAGACAAAAAAAAAAAGAAAAAAAAAAGAAATTGCTGTTAAGATAATTTATATCACTGATCAAGTCAGAAATGCTGCGCAAGTTTGTGAGTGTTGTTCCTAGTATAAGTAATATTTCCTAATCTAATTAAGAATAATTTACTTGTTGTAAAGCACTCCCTAAATGCTTCAATAAACTTATATAAGCTAAACTCGTCTCGTTTACTCCATTCATTGCAGCAAAATTGCTGCAAATTGCATTAATCCATTTGCTAGAAAACAAGTGGCGCTCATAAATTCTGAGTCCCTGACTCTCTGGTCTTTGAATCCAGAGTGCCACAAGCAGTTATTCCATGACTTGTTTTGTTCAGAATTTATGTAAATGACTTTTCATATGCCCCTCAATCTTGTTTTAATGAATATTATTGGATGATACTAAACTTCAGATTTCTCTCCCAGTTCAAGGCTGGGCTAAGACAACAATTTTTTTCTGAGACAGGGAGTGCCCTTTAAATGAAAGTGAAATAAAACCACGATCGTCGATCAAAAGATCGGTGGGGACTCTGACGTCGATCTCAAAAATTTTTGTTTCTGCCTTTTTTTCAGTATTTATCTCTTTGACTGTTCAATATGCTTATAAGGAAGTATTTATCGTTTAGATAGGGTTTTGAAATTTCTGCACACGAAATTAAATTAAAATTTTTTTTTGTTTGAATCTCCCGAAAATCTGACATATTTCGATCCATATATAGATATAAGGAACCCAAAAGTAGTCATTAAAACGTTACTCTGCACATCCTTCTCCATTCAGTTCCAGGGGATTTGCGCCCAAAAATGTTGTGATTATTACAGGAATAAATTATTCAAAATCATCTTTTTGTATTATTTTATCTCACAGTATTAAATTATATACAAAAACAAATATTCATCTAAGTGCCGGTGGCTAGGGGTAGATATTTACATCCCCGCTTGGCAGCTTGGTAAATATCCACCACTAGTTAACTCTACCTTGGTGAAGAGTTAAGAAATAATCATTTGATAAACTTTCAATAGGGTGATTGGCATCACAACTTATCGTAATAATGCAAACATTTCCGAGAAGCCAATATTGGAAAATGGATCATTTTTCTATCCATATCTTGTAAAATTAATGCCAATGAAGGAAATATAAATAAACTTGAAAGGTCTTGGCTGGCCACCAACACCAGCACCTGTACAACAACAACTGAAGTGTGTCAACAATCATGTATTGTTACCCTTAGTGTTATCAAAACAAGGAGGCTGACATATCTGTCAACCAAAAACGGTTTATTTATGCGACTAAGAATAAAATATTTGAAAGCCTAATGACCCAATTTGCCAGTCTCTAGCTAAATACTATAACAGGTACCGATAAGTAAGCACGTAATACTTCTTAAAAGCCGTCAGCAGGAGACAGATTGTGCCTTTCTGTGAGAGCGTAGCCGGTTTTAATGACTTAGCTATTGAGTCATTCATCACGCCCTTAAAACCAAGACTATTGCCAAAATGGCCTACAGTATATTCTAGAGCTCGTGTGAATGATTTATTCGTATTACATCATTACGCATTTTACGCTTTGTTTTTGTAAGCAGATGTGAACTGTTTGTGGAAAAAAAAATTTGTTGAACATTGATAAGAGCTGAGACGACCGCTGGTGTTTTCATCATAAAGTTAATGTTCAAGAGAACTTAAAGTTTAGCTAAATCTCGTTTTTTATTATTCTCCAATTTAATAATACCAAAATATAAGCCATTTAATTACCAATCAGCCATTTTTGTGGCGTCCTCAATTTGTGAGATGTTTAATGTGGTCTTATTTGATATTCAAGCATGACGCATTTTAAAATAAAGGTTAGACATATTCATCTTGAGGTTTTTCCTCCTGATTGTGGGGAAAGCCAGCTGAAAGAGGCCAAAAACAGAGAAGTCAGCAATAACTGAGGGGGCGGAAAAGGAAAAGAAAATAACAACCTTCCTTGTTTAAAAGCGCCGCCAATAAGAGGACTAAAGGGGCCGCACAAATGTACGGGGTAGACTCTTTTTTTTTTATTTGACAAAGTTGCTTCGCACTTCGCTGAAAACGGTTTGTTCAGTCAAAATGCGAGATATTAGATTTACGCATGAGAGAACAGGGCATATCGAGCAAAGACAAGTCCACAATTAACGTTTATTTATTAATTTTGTTTATGCAGGGGCGATCTTTAAATAAATATTAGAAACCCGTCTAAAATAGATAGAAAGAATCAATTCTCAATCAATATCTCATTGTATTTCATGGCAAAAAAAGAGACTAATCGATGTTATGTCTTCCTCTTCTTCTTATTCTCCTTCCTGTAAAGAGAACATGGAAAAGAAAAAGAAATTTGTATTCCTCCTTATATTGCAATAGAGTTTTCGACTCTGTAAGTGCAATTACTTGTCAGCATTCAATGATTCGTTATTGATTAATAAGAAAATTCGCAAAAAATTATTCTTTAAGGACACGGAAGTTTTTCCACAAAAATAAAGGCGACCTTGAATCACGAACAACAACAAAACGCCCTGGCTGTGTCCTTTACTGCCTTTCTCACTTCTGTGATTTTCCAACAGTAAAAGAAAGGGATTCAGAGATGAATTCAGATAAACTAAAGTTTCCGTAAAGAGCCACAGAGCATGAACTGCTGATCCACTAAGTACTGTATGTCTCAATATCGACACAATTATAAAAGGGGTGTAGCATGCCACTAAAGCCAACTGCACCCAAAATATGCTGGAAACTGTTTTCTGATATTGTTTGATGTTTAGTTGAACTCTCCCGTTTAATCTTTGTTTGGATGAACCTTTTCCTGTCCATGCATGTACTCTTCCCCTTCCTGTACCTTTTACTCCTGCTCCTTCTTCTGTGGCTGTTATTGTCCCCGTTATTGCGCCTGCTTCATCTTTTCCTACTGCTATATCTTCTCCTGCGTTTGACCGTCCTTCGCCAGGGTTGTCTTCTACTTCAGCCTGGTACCGCTGTAATCTCAAGTGGATCTTTACGTAGCAAAACACGGAAGTAACCAGAGATACCGCAACGGCCACAAAAGCAACAATCTCCGAAACCGTTTGACTCAGACACGAACCAATCCGCATAAAACAGCAATTATCCAGCATAAAAGTATAACAGCTTGAGTTCGCTTTAGTGTCACAACTTGTCTGTATCTCAGCCTCAATAACAGAACAAGAAGTCTGTCAACACTGATGGCTGTTGATATCAGTACAGTCACTCCAAACAAAACATAGTTGGATATACAAACAACCTCTTCGACGTAATACAAAATATCTATGTCGGTGTTACCAAGATAAATGTAAAGAAATAAAAGTTACGAACAGAGGTTGTGAAAATAGATCCACACAAATATCGGTAGTGGCTAGACATTCAAACAAGACCTTTGCAGCGGGATGCAAAGAGGACACTTTATAAAATGTTAATAGAAGCAGAGCATTACCAAGAGATGCAGTGAAGGAGATCACAATGTTGAAAGCGAGGAGAAATGCTACTACTCCAATTGGTAATTGTGAAGATAACTGGCTTGTGAGGGTCGCCATTGGCGCTCACGTTCAGACTTGTGGCTCTGTCTTTCCCTCTTTTGGCAAGAAATGAACGTTTATTGGGCGATCCGTAATCGATATAAGAGTATTATTGTTTTGTTGAGAATTTTAGCAGTTTCTATTAAATAAAAAATTCCTCCTGTTGTTTGATTTTACGATGACAAATGTCACAGCTATAATTAGACTTGTTTTTAACTCTTTCGTGTTTTATTCAAATTCTTCGAATTTTCATCATGTTTAGTGAGCGGGTGCTACATTTATTTAACAAACTAAATGACGTAGAATCTGCGAGTTATTTTTCACCGATACTATGTAGAGCTTCCTCAACAAGTCAGCTTTTCTTTCCAGTTCTTGACCCATGTGTGTCTTTGTCCTTCTTAGCTATGCTTGTTTTGTTTTTAAGGTAACATATTTGTGGTTCCTTTATGATGAGCAAGTGCTTTTTAGATAAAAAAAATTTGCATAATATACTGATGTTTAAGAACATTGAGGTCAATTCTCATAAAATAAGGGCATCCTTGAGCTATAAAAAACAACAAAACGCTCTGATTGTCTTCTTTACTGCAATTCTCACTCCTCTGAACTTCCAGCACTAAAGAAAGAGATTCAAATTTAGTTTAATGTTATCAACTGAGATAAAGTAAACTGGCTACCGTATGCCAGTTCCCTATTATTCGTAACAGAAAAATTAATTACTTTGCCGCGAGTGTGTTCCCTAAATTCAGAACTCATTAGCGAGAGCCAATTTGCCGGCACGTCATTATCAATTATCAATTCGGGCAGGATTAGCTGATCCAGTACTAAATTATCCGAACTAACATTAAAAGAATTCTATGGTTGACAGTAAGGAGAATTACAAATTTGATCTGGGAGTTGAAGAGTTAGAGTAGTGTTTTTCAAGAGGGATGAATGTGGTAGAGTGTCTAAAGGTTCGTTTACACAAAAGACAGAATTGGAGTTGAATTGTTCATTAGTCGTAGGAGTGCCAGCGACCCAGAGAAAATCGAGAGTCGGAGTCGTAAGTGGAGCCAAAAGCTTGACGAAATAGGAGTTGGAATATTCCGAGCAATTTCTTTTCTTCCGATTCCGCTAAGAACTCCAACGCTTATGATCCAGTGAAAACTAGATTGTCGGAATCACAGGCAATGCCAGTTCTTAACTGAGCTAACCGATGGCTCAAAACTCCAACAATTTATTTTTCACATGTCATTAGCGAAGGAGTCATAAGTGGCATCAGTATTTTGCTTCTGATTCTTTGGTTTGATTTCACAAGGTCATATCGCTCTGCTCTTTTTTTTTCTTTAGAAGTCGATCCAAGTTGATAACGAAGGAGAGACAAATTTGTTTGTTTGTGAAGTCTCTTCGAAAATTCAACATCCGTTTTCAACGCTAAGCTGATTGTTCTGCACTGCAAAAAAATATTTGAGGGATAAAAAGCAAAAGAATACGTCCTCAATTTGGCTCTAATATATACACGTATATTTTGTCTTTAAACATGATCCGTTCCTAAAAGCACACAGTTTTCCTCAAGCTTTACTCTCCGAAAATTCTTGGCCTCTCTAGACAAAATGGATGTCCACCAAAAAAAATTACGAGCATATTTTTACACTAAACAGAGGCTACTGTTTAATAGTCGGTCCTCGTTCAAACTTAAGTTTCGAAATTATCCTTCAGATTGAGTACACGTTTCTCACAAGCTTCCCACAAACTTCAGTGGAGAAAGTCTTACAGTTCTTCTCATTACATCAAATGATCAAGTGCCTTATTACAGCACATACCTCCTGATATTCTCCCAAGGGAGTCAGATACTGCAGAATTAGTCTCTGCTGCATGCCAAGAGTCAGGGGGGGAGAGGAAAAAGGACATAGGGACTATGTGGTCCCCTCCCTTAGGTGCATAAATTACATTTCCAGTGGAACGGAAACCCTTGCTTGTTTTAATTAACAATGGATGTTTTGCTTGTAGACAACTTTTACCTGAAACAAAAAGAAAATATTTATTAATATTAAGGAAACTGAGCTGGCTTGTGCAGGGCAAATCTACTTGGAGTACTTCCTTCCTGGCACCCCCCTCCTCACCCCACCCCCCCCCTTGACACAAAAGAAGAAAAACAAATGATAATAAGCACAAATACTGAAGTGCTTGAGGAAGGACACTTCTCAATCTATGTTATTGTGACCACCTAGATATACTATCAAATCCCCCCTAGTTCAAAATTGAAAGCTAACCTTGTTTCCCGTAAACTCCCAGAAGTGATCAACATGTAACTTCTCTCTATAATGTACATACGTAATTCACTTAACAGCTAATGAGAATACACAAACTTATCAAGCAGAGGTTGTTATCTTGATCTAAATACCAAATTCTCATAACTAATTTACATGGAAAGATGTAGCAACTATAGGGGAGAATTAACAATCTGATTTTGGGAGTCAAAGGGTCAAAAAAAAAAACATAAAGCGCAGCTTTCCAACATTTTTCACAAGAGTGGAATTTTGAGGCAAAAAAAAAAAATAAACTCGACCTCTCAAAGACCCTATTTGCACTTACTGGTATCTAGTGTTTATTTCATTAAAAGCTTCAAGGACCCCATCCAAAAGATCTCACTTTTGTGGAACTTATTCATCACATTATCCTTGCAGTGCTTTCAATAAGATTTGAAGAAGGTTGCTGCCTAATGGTAAGGCACCTGCCAGAGAATTTCCCTCTTGTAATCCCATTACTTCCATTCAGAATAAACTGGCTTAAAACAGAGTTTTTGGTGCCAAACTTTCACAGATGATCATTAAATATTTTTGTTCTTGATAACAATTGTTTAACTGATCATTTTATTCCTGATCAAAATTTTCCATTCCCTGACATGCAAGCCTGCTCCCTGAGTTTCACACAAAAAGTCCTCTGAAAGGATATATGGTAAATGTTTAACAAAATTTGAGTCAGACTGCTGTTGGAAACTCAAAATATCTTCTTTTTGGCTGCAAATGTATGAAATGTATGCTAGAATATATGATAAGAAAATACCAATCATTTCATCAAAACTCATTTATAAAGGTAAAAGTTGACTGAAAGAACTCTAGAAGATCTCAAGGTGTTTTAGGTCTCTCATCATGAGTTTGCATGAAAGCTCCCAGAGTATACCTGGCAATTCACTACAGAATACCCGCTGGAGCTCCTACTGGTGCTGGGTCTTACTGAAAGCACTGCCTCAGCTGTCGAAGTGAAAACCCAAAGGAGAATAATTGAGCCTTCAAGTTGCAAACCAGTCATACCACTCGGTTTGAAAAGACACTTAAATCAACTTAAAGTTGTTAGAAGATTCAACTCACTGGCAGAGGGGCAATCTGAGTTACAATACTCAAAAAGTGAACTAACCCTTTCCATTGTCTATTTGCTTCTTCCACTTCTCCATTACACAAAACAGATGTTTCACCATTCTGTGGCACTGTGCATGATGGTCCTGGCTCGGCAAGATTCACTTTCTTTACTTTGTTACTCACAATGTTACTGTTTTTGCTCTTTGTTCCTGTTTGTCTTTGCCTTCAGGAAGGGACTGTGTAAGGTCTGACAAGTCCTTTAAAATGTGTAGCTGCCACAGCATACAGGGAACCTAAACATGTGAAATTTAACATTTAATCCTCAGCGTATAGTTTAAAAAAGGTGATCCAAACAAAAATGCTATGAGTGACAAAGGACAATTCCTGAGAAGTGTAAACTCAACTATACACTCTGACTTTTGGAAAATAAATGCTGTTAAGCACAAAGCTAAGGTGTAATATTTTAAAAACCCCTTTTCACCCTAACATCAGTATGCATATTCTCCATACTGTTCTATATACATTTCTTTAGTTGTTGACTTGGAGAATTTATTTAACAAGATGTCAAAAGCTTCTTTATTTGGTGATCATTTCCTTTGTTCTCATAGCCTTTATGTTTGATTCAGGGGAGATATTGTAAGGAGAAATTAGATGCTGGTCACTCTTTAAAGTTGCTATACTGACTTACCAAGGTAGAGTTTTCTTCTCTGAATACTGCAGCAATATCCTGGTTCTCCATGGCAAATGCTAAAAGACCTGTTAATAAAATAATTATCAAAGTTTCTATTACTTGATACTTGAAATTAAAAGCAAATTAAATATGCAACTGCAGCAATACACATTAAAAATGAACAAAAAGGAATATTATAATCCTCAATGAAACAATGACTATCTATATCTTAACCTTGTACACTACCTTGGATCACCTAACTAAAACAACCTTCTACTTACACCCAGTTAATAAACATGTACACAAAATTGAGTTAATTCAGAAGCTGAAGCTGTACAAGAATGAGATAAATCTAATTTCCCCAGGAGGCCACTTGATGCTAAATATTTTGTCAGCTAAATTTTCTTTTTTCTCTTTTTCAGTTATGGTGACCAAAATGTTCAAAGCCTGAATTACTGTGTAAAGTAAGACCAGTAAACTATGATACAAATACCTGTAGCATATGATCTTAGGGGTTCTAAGGCTTCTCTGGCCCACTTGCATAATTTGTTGATACGAAATATGTAGAGAAAGATGTT